GGCACTGCTCTGGACCTCTGCCAGGACTCATGCTTTCCTTCCACACCCTCCCCCCCTCCTCCTGCTTTACTTCCAACACCCTCCATCACTCCCCCCTCTCCCTCTCCTCCCCCCCTCTCCCCCCCTCTCCCTCTCCTTCACCCCCCCCCCCCCCTCTCCCTCTCCTTCACTCCCCCCCCCCCTCTCCCCCTCTCCCCCTACCTCCTTAAAAAATCAACAAAAAATAACCTAAAAATAAACAGAGACAAGTAGTTTATAACCAGGGTGTATTATAATATTTATTTAGGGTACTTCATGATCATTAAAGATATGTAGATAGATAGATACTGTAGATAGATAGATAGATACTGTAGATAGATAGATACTGTAGATAGATAGATACTGTAGATAGATAGATACTGTAGATAGATAGATACTGTAGATAGATAGATACTGTAGATAGATAGATACTGTAGATAGATAGATACTGTAGATAGATAGATACTGTAGATAGATAGATACTGTAGATAGATAGATAGATAGATAGATACTGTAGACAGATACTGTAGATAGATATATACTGTAGACAGATAGATACTGTAGATAGATAGATAGATAGATACTGTAGATAGATAGATAGATAGATACTGTAGATAGATAGATAGATAGATACTGTAGATAGATAGATATAGATACTGTAGACAGATAGATAGATACCGTAGATAGATACTGTAGATAGATAGATACTGTAGACAGATAGATACTGTAGATAGATAGATACTGTAGACAGATAGATAGATAGATAGATACCGTAGACAGATAGATACTGTAGATAGATAGATAGATAGATACTGTAGATAGATAGATAGATAGATACTGTAGATAGATAGATAGATAGATACTGTAGACAGATAGATAGATACCGTAGATAGATACCGTAGATAGATACTGTAGATAGATATATACTGTAGACAGATAGATACTGTAGATAGATAGATAGATACTGTAGATAGATAGATAGATAGATAGATACTGTAGATAGATAGATAGATAGATACTGTAGATAGATAGATAGATAGATACTGTAGACAGATAGATAGATACCGTAGATAGATACTGTAGATAGATATATACTGTAGACAGATAGATAGATACTGTAGATAGATAGACAGATAGATACTGTAGACAGATAGATAGATACTGTAGATAGATAGACAGATAGATACTGTAGACAGATAGATAGATACTGTAGATCAGGGGTGCTCAATACGTCGATCGCGATCTACCGGTCGATCGCAAAGGTAGTATTGGTAGATCGCATTAAATAAATAAAAAATTACACATTCTAAACGAATATATACAAAAAACTCCGGGCAAAGTGGAGATTTTTGAAAACTCCGTTAATGCATTTGTGTGTAGTCAGAGATAACCGGAGTTTTGCGTTCTCGCACGCCACAGTACCCCCCTAAATTCCTCTGATCACTGAAGCATGGATCATACTACCTTAAAAACTGTTCGCTGTGAGATGCTCGCAGCAGCGAACATCCTCCACATCAGAGAGCAGCAAAGTGATCGCGGGGACTCACGCTCGAAAACAACCAAACCAGGACTAAACCCGGACTAAACCAGGACTAAACCAGGACTAAACCAGGGCTGAGGACGGGGTCAGTGCTTGTAAACATATGTCTTTACTCTGAGTGTCTTCTATGACTGTAAAAGTGCCGTTACCGGCGTCTGCATCAAAGCTCCGCCCACTTCTGTGTTTTTCCCCAACGCAGGACAGGACGTAAGAGACGCACATGTTTGGAATGTTACGAATGTGATTGATAACGCAGATGTGTGGATGCAAATTATTGTATAAACTGAGGAGGGGAAATATTTGGATTTAAAAAAACCAGGCATGGCACATGGACATGGCACCACAGTCAAATGACATCTGTGTTTTACTCAGTAATGTTTTACTGACACTTAGGTGACTGCACATGCGCAAACAACCGCGCTCAGTGCAGGAAAGCTAAACCACGACAAACTTGTCAGCGAGTTACCACCAATTTTCCGGACTATGCATCTCTGGCCGATTCAATTCAGTGCAAGTCATCAGAGTAAACTCGGGTAATGACAAAAAATGTACATAGATAATTGTGTTGTGTTGTGCTATATTGGCTCATGCGGTTTTGCATGTACATAAACATACATTGTAGGTATAAAGAATATTTTTTGAAATAAATATATGATTAGCATTTTTGTAGTAGGTAGATCATTTTGACTTGATCCTTTTATAAGTAGCTCGCATGCTGAAAAAGTGTGAGCACCCCTGCTGTAGATAGATAGATAGATAGATACTGTAGACAGATAGATACTGTAGATAGATAGATAGATGGATAGATACTGTAGATAGATACTGTAGATAGATAGATAGATACTGTAGACAGATAGATACTGTAGATAGATAGATAGATGGATAGATACTGTAGACAGATAGATAGATACCGTAGATAGATACTGTAGATATATAGATAGATGCTGTAGATAGATAGATGGATACTGTAGACAGATAGATAGATGCTATAGATAGATAGATGGATAGATACTGTAGACAGATACTGTAGATAGATAGATAGATACCGTAGATAGATACTGTAGATAGATAGATAGATACTGTAGACAGATAGATAGATACTGTAGATAGATAGATAGATACTGTAGACAGATAGATACTGTAGACAGATAGATAGATACTGTAGACAGATAGATAGATACTGTAGACAGATAGATAGATACTGCAGATACTGTAGATAGATGGATAGATACTGTAGATAGATAGATAGATTGATAGATGCAGGTGTCCAGTAGCAGCAGAAACACATCCATCCAAACAAACACATTGATCATTCTATAAATGTAACAATAGTAATAATAATAAACAGGAAAAGCCTCTTTCCTTTAACACTGAAACAGTGGACACAGTGACACACTCGCACACACCCAGATGCATAAATACCTAACTAAGCGTGGTTAGTTTCTGCTCAGTCATATTGTGTGTGTGTGTGTGTGTGTGTACGTGTGTGTGTGTGTGTGTGTGTGTGTGTGTGTGTACGTGTGTGTCACTTATTGCGTTCCCAAGTTGCACTGCACGGTTGGCTGCGCTTCATGTTATGCTGCGAGGATTCCCACATAATCCAGGACATGTGCACGAGTCACGGCTCAGGCTGGATCGGCTCTGCCTGACTTGGTTTTACACAGATACAGAGATAGATAGATACAGAGATAGATAGATACAGAGATAGATAGATACAGGGATAGATAGATACTGTAGATAGATAGATACTGTAGATAGATAGATAGATAGAGATGGATAGATACTGTAGATAGATAGATACAGAGATAGACAAATAGAGATAGATAGATACTGTAGATAGACAGCAACATATAAATTAGGGATATTTCCGAACAACTTTAATGTGATTTTGATTCTTGTTTGATGAGATTCTGCGTTCAGAAAGAGTTGAATTTGATAAAATCTTAAAAATTCAATTCCAAACATTGAATAAACATAGAAAAAACAATTTTAATATAAATAAATGAATATATAAATGAAGCTCAAAATCAATTTTTAATATATATATATACATTTTTATCAAACAGCCCAATGTGCAACAAGTCCTCTCTCTATAAAGATGGTGGCGTCACTTACATATTCATTGATCATTCAGGATAAAAACTAAAAGATTAATCAAAATAAATATTGTCCAATGAATCGTATGAAAATAATCCTTCGTTACAGATTTAAATGATTCTGTGTCGTCTCCAAATGTCTAGACACAGAAGTTCTTTGGAGAAACTGATTATAAAGTCTGTGGAGGAAGCGACCTCTTCTATTGACACTAGTTCTGCAACAATACAACGAGTGCCTCAGCATATGCACAGCACACCAGCGCCCCTACTGGCCAAACGCTGACATTACATCTGTGTGTTCTGCCTGAACTCAGCTGCAGGAAGATTTGATGATGATGATGATGATGACCCAGAAACAGATGAAGATGTAAACGAGCAGTGACTGATGCTCCACTGGCCCATAAACCACACAATACTACACAATACCACACAATACTACACAATACTCACAAACCCACACAATACTACACAATACCACACAATACTACACAATACTACACAATACTCACAAACCCACACAATACTACACAATACTACACAATACCACACAATACTCACAAACCCACACAATACTACACAAAACCTCACAATACCACACAATACTCACAAAACCCCACAATACCACACAATACTTCACAATACTACACAATACTACACAATACTACACAATACCACACAATACTACACAATACTACACAATACTCACAATACTACACAATACTACACAATACCACACAATACTCACAAACCCACACAATACTACACAATACCACACAATACTCACAAACCCACACAATACTACACAATGCTACACAAAACCTCACAATACCACACAATACTCACAAAACCCCACAATACCACACAATACTTCACAATACTACACAATACCACACAATACTACACAATACTACACAATACCACACAATACTACACAATGCCACACAATACTACACAATACTACACAATACTACACAAAACCACACAATACTCACAAACCCACACAATACTCACAATACTTACAAAACCACACAATACTCACAATACCACACAATACTCACAATACTACACAAAACCACACAATACTCACAATACCACACAATACTACACAATACCACACAATACCACACAATACTACACAATACCACACAATACTACACAATACCACACAATACTACACAATACTACACAATACCACACAATACTACACAATACTACACAATACTCACAAACCCACACAATACTACACAATACTCACAATACTTACAAAACCACACAATACTCACAAACCCACACAATACTACACAATACTCACAATACTCACAAAACCACAAAATACTACACAATACTCATACTATTGTGTTGTTCTCCTCTTTGTGCGTCAAAGTGTGTGTCCTCGTTTCTAAACATAGCGACGGTGATGCTAACTCCTCATGTAGCATCTTGAGCCCGTCTTGACTCAGCAGAGAGCGGAAGTGGGTCAGCCGAGCTCTGCCCAGGCCCCAGGGAGAGGGAGTGATGAGGGTGTGACAAGGGAGCGATGAGGGAGTGATGAGGGTGTAACGGGGGTGTGATGAGTCTTTGAGGGTGTGATGAGTCTTTGAGGGTGTGATGAGGGTGTGATGAGTCTTTGAGGGTGTGATGAGGGTGTGATGAGTCTTTGAGGGTGTGATGAGTCTTTGAGGGTGTGATGAGGGTGTGATGAGTCTTTGAGGGAGTGATGAGGGTGTGATGAGTCTTTGAGGGAGTGATGAGGGTGTGATGAGTCTTTGAGGGAGTGATGAGGGTGTGATGAGTCTTTGAGGGAGTGATGAGGGTGTGATGAGTCTTTGAGGGTGTGATGAGTCTTTGAGGGTGTGATGAGTCTTTGAGGGTGTGATGAGTCTTTGAGGGTGTGATGAGTCTTTGAGGGTGTGATGAGTCTTTGAGGGTGTGATGAGTCTTTGAGGGTGTGATGAGTCTTTGAGGGAGTGATGAGGGTGTGATGAGTCTTTGAGGGTGTGATGAGTCTTTGAGGGAGTGATGAGTCTTTGAGGGTGTGATGAGTCTTTGAGGGTGTGATGAGTCTTTGAGGGAGTGATGAGGGTGTGATGAGTCTTTGAGGGTGTGATGAGTCTTTGAGGGTGTGATGAGTCTTTGAGGGAGTGATGAGGGTGTGATGAGTCTTTGAGGGTGTGATGAGTCTTTGAGGGAGTGATGAGGGTGTGATGAGTCTTTGAGGGTGTGATGAGTCTTTGAGGGAGTGATGAGGGTGTGATGAGTCTTTGAGGGAGTGATGAGGGTGTGATGAGTCTTTGAGGGAGTGATGAGTCTATGAGGGAGTGATGAGTCTTGGAGGGTGTGATGAGTCTTTGAGGGAGTGATGAGGGTGTGATGAGTCTTTGAGGGAGTGATGAGTCTTTGAGGGTGTGATGAGTCTTTGAGGGAGTGATGAGGGTGTGATGAGTCTTTGAGGGAGTGATGAGGGTGTGATGAGTCTTTGAGGGAGTGATGAGTCTATGAGGGAGTGATGAGTCTTTGAGGGTGTGATGAGTCTTTGAGGGAGTGATGAGGGTGTGATGAGTCTTTGAGGGAGTGATGAGTCTTTGAGGGTGTGATGAGTCTTTGAGGGTGTGATGAGTCTTTGAGGGTGTGATGAGAGTGTGATGAGTCTTTGAGGGTGTGATGAGTCTTTGAGGGTGTGATGAGGGTGTGATGAGTCTTTGAGGGTGTGATGAGGGTGTGATGAGTCTTTGAGGGAGTGATGAGTCTTTGAGGGTGTGATGAGGGTGTGATGAGGGTGTGATGAGGGTGTGATGAGGGAGTGATGAGGGTGTGATGGACATATGAGGCGATGGAGAGATTCTGGATCAAAGTGTGTGAACAAAACACCACAGAAAAGGACAATTTCATCCTGTAGCTCAAGAGTTTGGATTCAAAAAGCATCGAAATGAATGTAAACCATGAAGGATTCTCACTGTGATCCTGACCCACATGCGCCCTCTGGTGGTCGAGTTTAGATTGCCCTATATTCAATACTAAACAGCCTGAAGTTGTCAACCCAATACATCAGGCTAAATTTGACAGTTTTTGCACCATATAGTGGCTTTAATATTTATTTTTCAGTTTTGTGGATATATATTTAACATTATAGTTTAAATGATTCAGGCACTTGTCATATGTAGTGTATTCTACATGCTCAGAGTACTATGACACTCAGAGTACTTGATTGGACACTGTTAAAGCAGCAATATGTAAGATTTTTATGTCAACTCATCATTAATCCTACTATTAAACCAAAACTTAATGTTCACTCCTTGAAAAAAAGCAATGTCATTTTTTTTAAATTATTATTATTAAAGATGTAGGAGCAGTAATAACTAAAAAAATGTGTTTTAATTTTTTTTTAATACGAAATGGTTGATATGCGTGAGATAATATAGTATAAAATGTTTTTGATCTCACAATGGAGTAATTTACTTTTAATATTTATTTTAACTTGATGGTTAAAGTGCCTAAGCCCCAGAGAAATGCCCCAAATATAATCTGCTCTTTTCCAATACTTCTTTAACTGATAACAGTAGTTCAGAGATATTTGAATTTCTAAATTATTTTTCCAGCCTCTAAATCTTGTTATTGTTTTCATTTCGATGTCCCGCCCTCCACCGTTTCACCAAATCAGAAAGTCTGTGATCCGGGCGCCAGAACTCACTGCGTGGAGCTAATCTCACTGGTAAAGTACCATGTGGCGCAGAACTAAAAAAAGGTCTCGTTATGATTCTCAAATCATTAACGACAAAACAAGGAATAAAACCAGGATTTCTATCTTTGTGAAAAAGGTGTTGGTTATAGATTTGTTGTTGACAAAACTCTTGTCTATTCAGCTGTTATGGTCCCAGCTGGATTCGTCTGCATATCTGGCAACCTGAGTCAGGGAGAGTGGGAGAGGCTGCAGTACCACTTTTGACCACACGTTTACACACTGCTCCTTTAACGTCATGACCAGATTTAAATGGTATTTGCAGAAGTTAAAGCCTGTGTAAATCTGACTTATGAAGCTTGGAAGGCCAACTCTATTCACTTTGTTTTCTTCCACTTTATCTGTTGCCGGGTCTCGGGGACAGCAGTCTAAGCTGAGGTGCCCAGACTTCCTTATTCACATCATATGAAAAATGAACAATTCTTAGTTTATTTATGTATTTTGCATGTTCTGCTCCTTGCTGTCCCGGCAGCTCGTGTATGTGTCTCATTACAGCAGAATGAGTAGTTCACACGCTCCGGGACGTGCAGTGGTTGGTCTGTCGGCGCAGTGGGGGCCCCTGCTGTGGGTGGGGGGGCTGTAAGGAGGGGGGGGGACTTAGCATCACACCTCTGATCAGAGCCCAGCGATCCTGCAGCGAACTGGGACAGAGCTGTGGATAAAGACGGAAAACACTGAAACAGGCCAGATCCCGTTAGACATCTGAAGCTAAGCAGGGCAGGGCCTGGTCAGTTCTGTGACGGGAGACTTCTGGGAACACCTGGTGCCACAGTGGGGTGGCCGCGGCTGTAAAGTGCCAAACTGTGGTTGTGTCCTTGGGCAAGACACTTAACCTATGGGAACAGCAGGTGCCACAGTGGGGTGGCCGCGGCTGTAAAGTGCCAAACTGTGGTTGTGTCCTTGGGCAAGACACTTCCCCCACATTAGAATGAGTCTGGTGTGTGTGTGAATGGTTGGTGGTGGTGGGAGGGGCCGATGGCACAGACTGGTTGCCTCGCTTCTGTCAGTGTGCCCAGGGCAGCTGTGGCTACAGCAGTAGTTTATCACCACCGTGTTTGGGGAGAGAATTTGAGCGCTGTATAAAATCAATGCATTATTATTATTATTATTATTATTATATATTATTAAAATATTCAGTAAATACTTCTGTACGAATGTAAACTATTAGTAAATCAGGCCCAAATACAGAGCCACAAACACTCTCTAATCTTCTATAGTTGTGTGTGTTTTTTCAAATGGATATATTTTCTTTCTTCGGGGCTGAACGGTGGCACCGCGGTTACAGCTTGTGCCTCACAGCAAGTGAGTGGAGTTTGCATGTTTCCTCCGGGTGCTCCGGTTTCCCCTACCCCAAAAACAGGCACAATAGGTCTGAATGTAATGAGAGGGGGATGGTGGAGGTCGGTTTGAGTTTCTCGCTCGCTCCCGTCATCGCTGTGTGTGAATGTCTGAAGTTTGTGCTTTGGGTGATATTAGTCTGTAAAAGGCACAATATAAAGATTACTTACTTTCTTCTTCATCATAATCTTTCTCATCATCAATATCTATATTATTAGCTTACATTATCAAACCCATTTTGACGTCTGTCCTCCTGTCATCATGAGGCTGTCTTTATGGATTTGAATGTCCTAATACACAGAGACCTTTAACTTGTGTATTCACGTCTATTATAAAGTAATTGACTCCAGGACCTGGTCTAGTCCAGTCTCAGTCTCTAACCAGACCACATTCATGAAGCCATTGACTGGAAACTGTCTTTTTATGGCTCATCAGGCGCAGAGAAAGGATATTTGTTGCGCAGCCTTTGGACCTGTCCCCTCTTTTATTCTGTATTTCTGAATAAAAAACAAAAACCTTCTTTAAATCTCCAGACGTCCACTGACTGCCACACGTCCTTTTTCTTTGTTTTAAAATCAGTTGTATTTTTGTAGCGCCCGTGGAATCCAGAAGGGGGCAGCAGATTGTGTGCTTGACCACCTTCCACAGCGCAGCCTCATTCGCAGCTGTTGCTATGGTTACTGGGGTCTGCTTGTTGCTGTCATGCACGGGCTGTTGTGGTCACATGACATCAAACTCAACACTTATCATCAGTGATTACCCACAAATCCACACAATTACACACAGACACATGGTTCTGATTTGTTTTGCTGCACAATACCATAAACTCTTGACTTTTACAACCAGCTGAGCCCACCTGGTGTTAGAGGAATTCCCTACAGAGTTTGTTTTAGAATATTACAGGTTTCAGCTTTAATGCTTCTGCTTGTTTTAACTCATTGACTGACCCACGGGAAATGGTTGGCTGTGACTTATCATTTGTATTTGTATGTATCTGATCTCCATTAGCTGTAACACGTCCAGCTGCTGCTCACAAAACAATATTTACTCCAGTTTTTACCAACAAGTGATATTAAACTACACCCCCACACACAACACATACAACATACATACACACACGCACACACACACAAACACACACTAACCAACCCAACTTTTCAAATCAACCAGTTACATGAAACTAATGTCTCGTCAAAGGGCCTTAAATCAGTGCTTACTGTGTTCTTAAAGTGTTCTAACCATGTGGGAAATGTAGATTCTCAAAGACTGGACTGTCTGCTTTCATCAGCATAAATGTTTGTTTCTGTCTAGTTTGGTTTTCCTGTGATCCTCAGAGGAACAGAGAGAAGTTTGACAGAAATCATCGGCCTCAGATCTGTCAAAAGTCAGTTTGAGTTAATCAATTATCCTGTGATTTCCCTTTATAATCTGATTATAATCTGATTAACCCGAGCTGTAGATGTTCTGCCAATTTAAGACATGATTATCTCAGATGTGACGAGACGGTGGAAAATCTCCACAACTGTTCTTCAGTTTTAAGAAGAGACTTGAGTTGAGTCTGAGTTTGTGTCAATGAAAAAGTTTGAAAGTGAGATAATGTTTTACAAATCAGCCCAAAACAGGCATCTTCATCTTATTAAAAACATTTATTTGTTTTAAGCATGGATCTATTATAATAACTGGATATGGTATTACAGCTTGGAGCTGAAGAACCATGTGCTTGGGGGTTTTTGCGGTACTCCAGACTAAACCAGACTAAACCAGACTAAACCAGACTAAACCAGACTAAACCAGACTAAACTTGGGCTACCCAGAAATGTTCCCCATTGAACTCAATGTAAACTAAAACAGCTCGACCTCAGCTGACAGAGAACCTGACAGAGAACCTGACAGAGAACCTGACAGAGAACCTGACAGAGAACCTGACAGAGAACCTGACAGAGAACCTGACAGAGAACCTGACAGAGAACCTGACAGAGAACCTGACAGAGAACCTGACAGAGAACCTGACAGAGAACCTGACAGAGAACCTGACAGAGAACCTGACAGAGAACCTGACAGAGAACCTGACAGAGAACCTGACAGAGAACCTGACAGAGAACCTGACAGAGAACCTGACAGAGAACCTGACAGAGAACCTGACAGAGAACCTGACAGAGAACCTGAGTTCGAGAACCTGACAGAGAACCTGACAGAGAACCTGACAGAGAACCTGACAGAGAACCTGACAGAGAACCTGACAGAGAACCTGACAGAGAACCTGACAGAGAACCTGACAGAGAACCTGACAGAGAACCTGAGTTCGAGAACCTGACAGAGAACCTGACAGAGAACCTGACAGAGAACCTGAGTTCGAGAACCTGAGGGAGAACCTGAGGGAGAACCTGAGGGAGAACCTGAGGGAGAACCTGAGGGAGAACCTGACAGAGAACCTGACAGAGAACCTACAGCTTTCATAAAGGTCAGATTCTGTGGGGATGTCCCTTGTCGTCCTGAACTTCTCCTTTGACACTGACGGAGCCACAACATCTTTGCTTCAATGACATTTACTAAACATTCCTCTTGCTCCGGCTTCAGTTTCTTGATATTTGGATTGAACCAGAACAGATTATTTTCTCACATTCTTCGACAAACTACAACCAGCAAATAAATTGTGTATAATAAGTTTAGTGCTATAATGTAAAAAGGAAATCCCTTCTATTCTTTCGACTCCTGAGCAAAATTAGTTTGACTTTTTCACTTTTGTGG